TCAGAGGATCCTTCTTCTCCGTGCCCACATCCGGCTCAGTCTGTGGGATCGGCTTGGTGCGGTGTGGAAATCAGAAACCCGGGCCAAATCCTGGACCCTAGGAGATGGCTGGGCCCCTTCTGCAGCTGCCGATCTTCCGTTGGGCACCCGGCTTTTGCACGGCCCCTCCACCGGTCTAAAGGGTCGAAATGCTTCTGGCAGTAAGAGTGGCCCTTGGGTTTGCCTGCAGCTGGAATGCAACCTGCGGAGCTTTTCCAGACTGGAAGGCGATGCAACACCCGATGGATGAGACTGCCTGTAGGCCCGTCCTCATTTTTGTCCTGTGGCAAGCGCGAGGGAAAATAGCGGTGAAGTATTTTGCCCCGGACAATAACGGAGGCGAGAAAAGGTCTCTGTCAACAACACTGTTCTTATTCTTTTTTTATTAATAGTAATCATTGATAGCAACAGTGGTAAGCTGGTAGGTGTTTGCATGGGGGAATAATCAGATCCCATAATGCCATCACTCAGGGAGTCCCACATGGGACTCCCGGGTGTGGGGAATTAATTGATTAATAATCTAGTATCGACAAACTGCCACTACTTGAGCCCCTCCTGGGCCTCCACTCACAGACACACACCAGTTGCTAACTTCCCAGTCCAGTGGGACTGTGTGGCCCAAATGGGAACGGAGAACAGTGGCGCCTGGGAAACCCAAGTCGCAGGCCAGGAGACCCCGCTGGCTGGGAGCACGAACCTCCAAGGAGCCTTGCACGCGGGGTTCTCTCCCGACTGGCTGCTGAAGGCACCAGGTTATTCCCCAAACCGGCTCCCTCCGTGCGGCTTCTTCAGCCTGCGCTTCGCCAGCACTTGGGCCGAGTGTTTTGACGTTTCCAAGGGGATTATCAAAAACAGCTGGCAGCGGTAGGCAGGGCCGTTCCTCGGCCGATGTCGGAAGGCCCCGATAGACCTTGCTGCCCCGTCAGCTGCATCTGGCGAAGCTGCGAGAGTTCTGGAAGCAGGGCAGCTGTTCTGCTCGACAGCTGGGCCATTGCAGATACCTCGCAAGCCCCAGCGGCCCCAGCGGCCTATCAAGCAGCGTGCAAGGCGCTCTGCCGTGGCGTGGGCGGCCAAGATAGCGGGCTTCACCGAGGCCGCCCGCTCGCCCACCTTCCGCTGAGCTGGCTCTGCAGGGGGGCCCCTCCCTCCCTCCCTCCCTGTACCACCCGTTCTGCCCCAGGAAAACCCGGCTCCACAAATCTTGCCCGTTTTGCGGGACGGTGGCCCTGCTCGTGCTCCCTGCTCTCAGAATAGGAATCCCTCCGGTTCCAAATGGCCGGACGGGCTCTGATCGATGTGCCCTCTTCTCTGTGCCCCCTTCTGCAGCTGGCAGGCCAGGGCAGATCCCATGCAGGTGAGGTCGCCCAAGGTCCCGCAGGCTGCAGACATGCCTTCCTTTCACCCCTGCTTCCCACAGGCCTCCACCAATGCAGCCGGCAGGCAAACCGTTGGTCCCTCTAGTTCACATCATCTTCATCGTACTTCGCCCACCTGTTGTCGATGGCCAAGCTGGCCGGGGCATGCTGGGAGTTGTAGTCCCGCACAGCGAGGGGGCGACAGGTTTTCCAGACCAGGAATGGGAAGTCCGTTGCCTCCTGGGGCAGCTGGGGGGGGGGTGCAGACTCCCCCTCAGCCCCTCTGTGTGATGCCCTTGGACCCCATCCTCTGCGCAGCAACGGACCCCGAGCGGAGGCCCTGTTGTTCCTCCCTGAAAGCGCTGAGCGATCAGGTTGTGTCTCCCAGAGCACAGTTGTTGGCCAAGTCAGCAAAGCCGGTCAGAGGAGAGGCGGGAGTCTGAACGGGAGTCTCTGGAGACCTCCAGGAAGGTCGCTCCTTCTCCCGGGGAGCAGAGCTCTGGGGAGGCCTTACATGAGGACTAGCGGGCTGAAGGGGTGATCTGGAAGGCCAGTTTTGGCCCGTGGCCCACTACTAGATCATGGCTCTCCTGGGATCCAGACCAGGGACTTTCCCGGCCCTGCCTGGAGATCCCGGGGACTGAAGAGGCGCCCCGTTGCTGGGCCTCCTCCGCCATCAGCACACAAACGCACCAACATTACAAGCTGCACTGGGAAAAGCCAGGGAGGCAGGGAAAAAGCTCATAAACAGAAGATTCATCGAGTAGGAGGGGATCTGCACATCACCAATTTTAATTATGCCTAAATATGTAGAATCTTATCTTGCTTTTGCATGGCACAGTCCACATTTGCAAATTATTTGGTATGATCTGCTCTGGCTTTGTAGTCAAATGGGAGGACTGTGCAGAATTCTGAAGAGCCCCCCACCCCGGGCATCCCTTGGTCACGGGGAATTGTCACAACCCGCTTCCCCTTGTTTCCGAGATTCCGCGAGCCAGCTCCCCACCCTTTTAGGCAAAGCATCGGGCAGGTGAAGGACTAGCAGTGTGTACCTGAGACAGCGTGAGAACGGAGCGTCTGAACAAGAGGGGTTTTGTGCCCGGCACCACACTCCTGTTTTCCTGATCTCCTGCAAAATTGCATCACCTACAGCCCTGCTGATGGATGGGTTTTATCTTTCAAGTTCAACATTTTTCTCCCTATCTTTGCAGTCCTCAGGCCTCTTTCCTAATCTTTGCATAAACACAAGGGCAGCAAGAAACCAAGGAGAAATACAGAGGCTTCTTTCCAAAGAATCTGTGCTCTGCCTGCCCCTTTGGATAGTCTGCAAATTCGGTGCACGTCACAACAGCGAGGGGAAGCAAAACATCAGCAAGGAATAAGGGGGACCACCGTGTACGAAGACCCTGGGATCATCTCCATCCACCCCACTGCTAAACCGTCTAGATGGTCTCTGGGTAGCCACACCTCCACTAGAATGGTGAGCACATGCGCCTTCTCATTTGGCATGATTGGTTTTGGTTGTGGGTGCAGGTGTCTAAGACTTGAGCAAGATTCAGCCCTTGGAAAGAACTGGCTGCTCTTTGTCTGCAGCATCTGGGTGTACAAATCTCTGGCAACATCTTTACTCGGTAAAAACCATCCTGAGAATCTAAGTTTCTAGACCTCAAGGTTGTGATATCTTTCAACCTCTGTAAATAGCAATTGCTGGCCTTCACTGCCCAGGATACAGTGTCCTGGCTCCCTGTCATGATTTCTTCCTGGCCCAATTCACAGCTCTCTTCTCCTTCGGTTGGTCAGTGTGGCCTGCTTCTCTTTGATTGTGCCATATTATCTGGAGGTCATCTAGATCATAAAGCTGTTGCCTGCTCAAGAGCCCCAGGGAACCCAAACATGGAAAGAAACAGCTCTCCCCATTGCCCTGATCACTCAGTACTGCCCCCTGAATGCAAGTTCCATGCATGATTAATAGCCATCGACAGACTGACCCCTCATGTATTTATCAAATCCTCCTAAAAAAAAAAAAAAACTAAGCTAGTGGTAACCATCACACTGTGCAGCAGCGAGTTCCACCAGTTCATCCTGGGAAGGACTTTCTTTTGCCGTCTTGAATCCACACTCAGCTTAACCCCCTGGGCAGCACCAGTGCTAGCAGGATGAAGCGCTGGAACTAAGGAGGCCCCTGAGAACGAGAGGGCGGCCGCCAAACCGGTGAGGCAGGAGCAGCTCTCCCTCCCCAGATGGCCGTGGCCGCTAGCCCTGGCGCCAGGAGGCCATGTTGCCTTTCTCTGGGCTGAGGGAGGCACCACGCTCTGGGCCTCCTCGGCACGCAGGAGAGACGCGCGGCCTCCGCTCCCTCCTGCACCTTTGCTGCATCTCTGATGGGCGAGAACTGCTCTGGGCCGGGCCCGGAGGCCAAGCCCCATGGTGGACGCCACGGGCCAGCTGCAGGAGCTACGCGGGCCAGGTTGGGCCCACGGGCCAGAAGCCCCACACCCCTGGAGCAATCCACCATGCTGCTTCCCAGGCACGGACAGGGAGTGGGGCGCTTCCCCCTGCTTTTCTTTCCCGTGACTCCACATGCCGAGGGAGACTTAGGTTCCATTTAGCCTCCTTGGTCAAAAGCAGTTCCCAGGGCGAGCCTCCGTAAAGCCGCCGGCCATCCCCTGCCCCTTTCGAAAGGTGTCTAAGCCGGGGTGGCGCAGACTCGAGGCTCGTGCGATCGACTCGGTTTTGCACCAGACCCCCAGGGACCCCCAGCTGAAGCAGGCCGCGAAGCAGCGACCCAGGAGGGTGCACAAGCGCTTGCTCCCAGGGCCAGCCTGGCGCTAGCACAGCAGTCCTCATCTGCTTTCCTCCGAGCCCTGCCTGAGCTCAGCAGCCTGGTGTAGGCGGATGAAAAGCCGCGTTTCTTACTGCCGTTTGTAAGCCGTTGCCGATCTTCCACAGATCACTCCGAGCGATACCAGGAGCCGCCCCCTCCCATCTATTTTTTGCCTGCCGTTGATCTGCGTTTTGTTCCAGCAAATTTCATAAATTAATCATGGACAGGGGGAAACACATCCGGAAAGCTAGCAAAAAGGAGTGCTTGTGTGTTCTCCTGTTTGAAAGATTTCAAAGACTGTGTTCTCCGTGCCGTGTTGAAACATTGCCAGTCTGGCAGCCGAATTCCACAGCAGGGAGGTTCTGACGGCAGGCTCCCATGGAAGGCTCGGCAGGAAGGCTGGGCTAACGGATGAGAAGCCCAGTACTGGGCCCCAAACGCCCGTACCTTTTAGCTGTACTGTCAAAACTAAGGATTAGCAGAGACCTGTAGACCCTTTCAACTAACACATACAAAAGCTGGGAAATGACTAAATGACCTGAGTTCAGGGAAGAGGAGGCATCTCCATCGGGGTCAGAACAGGGCCCTGGGGTTCCGCTTCTTGCTCTGCACAACGCAGTGTCCACACCAGCCATAAAACTCTTTCCCACCTGCCTCTTTTCTGAATTAAAAAGCCTCTGCTCAGCTGCCTTTCCGGGCCCCTTGTCCAGCTTTGTGGCAGCCATTTTGAAATGGGGCCAGTGGTACAACCCTGCAAGCTTTAAACAACAGACATAAGGCCATTAGGATAGTGTGGTTTTAATTGTGAATTCATTTCTTCAACATGCCTAGAATGGAATGTGGCTCTATTTGCATTAAAATAAAAAAAGAAAAATCTGGATTGTATGCCTTTGTATAACTTTTTACAAATTTGCAAACATACCAATTTTACGTAGCCTGATAACATTTGCAAGCAGCGTACAAAGTAGCAGAATTCAGCTTTTCTAGACATGAACATTGAAGTGGCAGCAAACAAACCGCCAGCCTTCAGAAACGTATCCAGGTGAAAGTGATTTTTGGGTGACTTCAAATTGCAAAGCAGAGGTTGCTTTGATAAGGAGCACAAAGCTTCTCCATAGAGAACGCAAAGGCCCTGAGCAATCTCAGAATGTCGCTGGACGTTCTTTTTGTATGCAAGATTAAGAAGATGGAAAATGCGTCATGAATGGCTCTCGAAGCTGGCTTAAAAGGAGCAAATCGCAGCCTGGCTACAAAACCACGCATGACACATCATCATTACAAACTGGAAATGGTTTTATTCATTTAGATGCCACAGCTCCCCGGGACATCCCCCTTGAGCATGCTGGGAACTGTAGTTTATGCAGGTGCTGAGAATCATCTGTTTGATACCCAATGGACTCCGAGTGATTTACAAATCCCAGGATGCCTCGCTGCAAAGGAGCAGGACATGAGCGGTGAGCACAAAACCACCTTAATTTTAGTAGCAAAGACATACATGAGTGCACAATGTGTGAAGTCTCCTGACTTGGTTTGCAGGTAGATGCGCCTGATTAAGTCTAGGGGAGCCTTTCAGGGAAATGGAAGGCTTCACGAAACGTCTGCAGAGACCCCCAAAGGGACTGAAATGGCGAGCATGGACTGCTGTTCACACACAACCTCCCCGTGTCGCAGGCACTGCCCCGAGTATCGCTCCAGGCCGCAGGGTACAGGTCCTCAAAAGGCAGGTTTCTCTGGGTCAGATTTGGCTCCGACGCAAACAACGGCGCTCCGGCACTCTTATCAATAGAGAGAGATCAGTCCCATGAATTGCACTTCGCAATTTCTCGATGCCATCAAAGGCCAAGGTCTTCAGGGGGAACAGGTAGCTTCCCACTGCCGGAAAATCCGGAACACCTTACGGGATTTCACGGAGAGATTCTGCAGTGAGAAGGAAAGAGGGACATACTTAAAGGGAACAGAAAATGCAGTCGCAGAGATAAGCAGCAGGCACAGAGGAATGGCGGGGCTGCAGGAAAACCAAACCTCAATGTGATTTTAGGCCATGTGAATCGGGCCGCAGTGTACAAGTCACAGGGATCCATCGTCCTGCTTCGGTCGGGCCTAGCCAGCCCTCGTCTGCAATGCTTTGCGCGGCTCTGACACACCCTCTGAGGATGAGTGGACCAGCGATCCACCCTGGTGCCCTGCGGAGGGGTCAGGCCGCATCTCCCAGCATGCCCTGGGCAGCCGTGTGTGCATCGTCAGCTTTTTGGGAGGGTGGAAAGGTGGGACAGGGATCCAATCAATCAAAGATAGACACACTGGAGCAGTTTCAAGGGAGAGCAACCACCACTGGGGAGGTATGAAGAACCAGTCCTATGAGGAGAGGCTGAAGGAAGTGGAGAAGAGAAAGATCTCTTCTCAGTCTGGGGAAAAGAACACTGAAGGGATCAGCGTGAGATCTCCCTTCGGCTTCCGGGAAGAGAGTTGCGTAATGGAGAACAAAGACATCTTTCTCATCTGCTCGACCAACGGGCTTCCGCTCCAGGGGGCAGAGCGCAATCCAACACACGAGAGGAAAGCCACGGTGCCTGGGGGGGGGGGGTGCAGGGTCTAGCCTTCACTCAGCTGTGACCCTCCCTCCCTGGCTGGCTCTGGGCCAGCTGCCCTCCCTCACAGGGTGGTGGTTGTTGTGAGGATAAAATGGAGCTACCGAAGCCCCCTTGGGTTCCTCGAAGGAAGAAAAAGGTGGGGTACAAAGTCAGTGCGGTAGCAATAGAAACGAGGAGCATTTGGCAAGAAGACCCACGGCTGAGGGGCAGGTGGTCGCTTTTCTCCATCGCTGGAGGTCTGCAAGGACAGGGACCACTGGGCGCCTCTCAGTTCTGGGTTCCTTGGGTCAAGGAGGGATGAGGCCTTGACCCACCTGCAAGGCCTCATCCCAGCCTGGCGGCCAACCGGGAGCAAGCGGCCCCTTGGCACCGGACACGCCACAGCCGAGACCGCGTAGTGTGCGAAGGCAGGGCTCATCCCCGTGGCCGCCGACAGCGCAGGACGCTGCTGGTGCCCAGGCGGGCCGCCTCACCTCCGACTCCACTTCTGCTGGCCGATCCGATGGCCTGGAGGCCTGGAGAGCCTTCAGAACGACCTGCCAGCCGAGATCCGCCATCTCCTCCGAGCGGTCCCCTCCGGCCACCATCTCCTTCACCGTGTTGACCCAGGGACACCAGTCGCGGTGCTGGGAGATGGGATCGAAGAAGCTCCGGGCAGACGAGTCCTGGCCAGAGAAGGGAAAGGGCTGCTCAAGACGGAAGCGCCGCGCCACCGAGGAGACATGGAAGGTGCTTTTGTGGCCACGTTGGCCCCCTTGGCTCTCCCAGATGCCGCCTCCTGTACGTGAGCCATCAGGGGGCCGTGGCCACAACTGAGGAGCAGGTCCTCAGGTCCCAGAGGATCTGGGCAGACTAGGGAAGTGGGCAGGAGACCACAGGGTGGCGTTCAATGTGGATAAGTGCAAGGTCTTGCACTTGGGGCGTAGGGATGGGTGTCATGAGTACAGGCTAGGGGACAAGTGGCTGGAGAGCAGCGCTTGCGAAAGGGACCTCGGGGTGCCGGTCGACTGCAGGCTGAACATGAGCCAGCCGTGTGATGCGGTGGCCAAGAGGGCGAACGCCACCCTTGGATGCATAGCCAGAAGCGTGGCTTCCAGATCGAGAGAGGTATTACTACCACTCTGTACGACTCTGGTGCGCCCGCAACTGGAGTATTGTGCTCAGTTCTGAGCTCCACATGACAGGAAGGATATAGCCAGGTTGGAGTCAGTGCAGCGAAGGGCCTCAAGGTTGGTGGCCGGTTTGCAGGGGATGGGATATGAGGCAAGACTAAGGGAACTGGGTCTCTTCAGCCTGGAGAAGAGGGGACTCAGAGGGGATATGCTGGCGACATGCAGGTGTGTGAGGGGGTGTCACACGGAGATGGGTGGAGACCTGTTCTCCCCTGCACAGGGGGGCAGGATGCGCTCCAACGGAGCAAAGCTCAGGGACCCAGATTTAGGGTGGATGCCAGGAAGCACTTCCTGACGGTTACGACCCGTAGGGTATAGAATGGGCTTCCACGGGAGGTGTTTGAAGCCACATCGGTGGGAGCAATCAAGGATAGGCTGGACAAGCACATGGCAGGCAAGTCATAAGCAGAGCCGGCTGGATCCGGGGTCAGACTAGTTGGCCCAGGAGGCCCCTTCTGCCTCGCTCTGTTTCTGTGCTTCAAGGCGGTGCCTACCAAAGGGGCCAGCTCTGCTGGCTGGAAAACATGGCAGCCACAGTCCAACTCTTTCGCTGGGCACCCCCTGGAGGAAGGCTCTTGAAGAGCAGGCCAAGCTCGCCAGACCAAGGCTCTGTTGCTCATGCCAGGCCGCCTCCTGTCCTCAGCACGGGAAGGCCCCCGCAAGGACCACACTGGGAGCTTCGTCCCGGAACGGAGCCCCAGCACCGAGGCAGAACCCCCACGCCCTTCAGGCCAGCGCGGACCCTTCCCCTTCGCTCCCGCGGGCGGGCGGGCGGGCACTCACCGAACTGCCGGACGAGCAGAGGCGGGCGCGCTTGGCCCTCCGGTGCGGGCAGGAGGGCGCCTCCGCCCCGGAGCCGCAGGCGTCGCTTTGCCCCATGCTGCGGGTCACCGGGCGGGTGCGGGTGGCCGGGCTGGCCGTGTCCATGTCGGGGCGCTCCCCCGAGCCGGAGCTGGAGCTGTCGAAGCTCCGGACACGGGTGATCAGCGGGGACGGGCTCTTCTCGGCCTGCGCGAGGAGAGCGAGAGTCAGCCGGCAGGGCGGCATCCCCACCACACGGGGCAGCGGGGACCCCGAATCGAGGCGGGCAGCAATCCCCCCCCACACACACAGGCAGAGCAGGGGGCCTGTGAGGGACCACCGGCCGCGCTGGCTGGGGCTGCTGGGAGCCCAGAGCATCCGGCCGGCTTCATGCTGGGGAGGCTGGCCCAAGGCGACGAGGAGCGAGGAGAGCTTTCAGGCCAGAGCGTGGTTTTGGGTTCTCGGACCCGAGAAGCGAGGCCAGCCGATGCCCAAGCCCCTCCGGGGCACATGGGCTCCACGTGCCGTCCTCTGCTGTGGCCCTCCCACGGTGAAGCCTTGGTGGCGGCTGCTGGAAGTCGGGATTCCACGGACTGAAGCGGCAGAGAACCCTGCTTGGGCGGCCTGTTCCCCTCGGAGCACGGAGCCGCCTCCCCACCCTCCTGCGGGCCACGCTGCAGCCGAGGAGGGCCACGTCCCCGCCTGGGGCTCAGCCGGATGCGGCGCCCACCAGCCGTGTGCCCGGCGGCCTGTGCGGTTTCTCTGGCTTAGAGCCTGGGCTGAGCCTTTGGATCCCCCTTCCGCAACCCAGTGTCCTCCAGGGATGTTAGATTGTCGTGCCCAGCCTGGCTGTGGATACTGGGAGCTGTAGTCCAACATGTCTGAAGGGCGCCAGAATCAGGAAGACGGCTTAACGTTCCTGGCAGGACCTGCTCCCGTTTGGAGACTCTGCTCCCCGCCAAGGTGCCTTTTATCGGCTGGGGCAGGGGGGGCAGTGCCCGGGGCTGGGGGGCCACCGTGCCTCCCCCTGGAAGCAGCCCTCCTTGCCAAAATCGCCACCATAGCAACAGAGGGGGAAGCAGTGCAGGGGCACAGGCCTCCCTCCCGAGCGGAGCTGGGCTCCTGCTGCACCTGCGGCGGCAGAGCAGGGCCTGGAAAAATGCCGGGGAAGCCGCACTGCCCCGCCTGAGGGAGGGCCAGGGCTGCACACGGAACGGACGCTCGGCACCTGCACCTGCCTGCAGGGCGCTGGCCCGCGTGGGAGGCAGGAGCCCGAGGCACCCGACGGACACAGCGCTGCAAGAGGGACTGGCCATGGTGCTGGCGGGTGGCAGAAAAACCGGACAGGCAGCGGATCGAGGGGAAAATGGCTGTAAAGCCCATCAAGAGCACCGTGCCTTCACGGCCACGGGAAACCCGCCCTACGGATGGCGAGATGCAGACGCGCTGACCCCCCTTCTGGGCTTGGGCCAGAGCCCCGCAGGCCTACCTGCTCGGTCCCAAGGGGGAACCCCGCATCCTGGCTCCGGGTGATCATCCGGCGTGGAGAGGTGGGGACGACGGGGACTTTGTCAGGGCGCCCGTCCGCAGGGGTGGCAGGAGCGCCGCTCGGGGGGAAGGGGTGCTCCGCCTCCGGGAGGGCAGCCTCGATCTGGTGGGAGGCCCAGAGCCCCACCTTCCTCATGCAGCGGCAGCAGGAGATCAGGGGAAGGTGCACAGATCCGACGGGAGGGCTGCGTGGCCGAACGAGAGAGGTGCCGGAGTCAGACGAAAGGAAGTACAAGCGGGAGCCGGAGGCCGAGGCAAACCCTGCGCCGCTGTCCCCCAGGTGCTCGCGACTGGCACGGCCCGCCATCCCTGCAGCGCAGCCTTGGGGTCTCTCTCTCATCCTCTCTCCGTCTGAGTAAGCATTCCCCCCAGCAGTTGCCTGGCTGGAGGCGATGCCATTTGACCTGCTTCCTTCCCAAGTGGCCATGATGAGAACGGTTGATTATTGTAATGCGCTCTACGTGGGGCTGCCCTGGGAAACGGCCCGGATACTTCTCCTGGCGCAAAAGAGAGCTGCCAGGCTGCTGGCAGGGACTGGGCGTTGTTCTCGCCTAATGCCAGTCCTCTAGCAGCTTTGCTGGCTCCCAACTGAAGTCTGGGCCCAATTCAAGGTGCTGGCACTGACCTAGAAAGCCCTAAATTTTGATGAACTCGTGAATGAAAAGCAGGAACAAAGAAGTCATTGAATTTTATGTTCAAAATCGGGATTGATTTTACGGTTTACAATTCCCCCCCTCAACTGCTCAATTTCTATTTGAATTTTATGCACGGAGTTAAAAGCTTATTTTTGAGTACAATTTGTTTACCTGCAGACCTGCTTGTGTCTCAGGTTATGCTTCAAAAATTAAAAATTTGACTTCTTCAAATGTGATATTACTTTTGTAGGGGGTGGGGACATAAATCAGACATTTTCTAGGGCTGTGGGGCATGGAAAAGGTTGGGAACCAATGCTTTAAATGAACACGTAAATACACTATCGCTCCACAGAAGTGTCCTTAAGGGCAACGGCGGCCCTCTGTGCTTGCCAGAGCTCCAGAGAGGGCAGGGACCTGTGGATGCCACACAGAAAACTTTGTGGAACGCCTGGCTCCCCTTTCCAGCCTCCGATATACCTGCTCATCCAGCCGCAGAGGGCCAACACGCAAGCCGTGATGTGGATTTGCAGAAGGTCCGAAGCGCGCCTGGTGGGCGTTCTCTCACCCTCGGTTTTGCATTCGGCATCCTCAATCAGCTGCAGGAGGTGGCCGATCGTCTCTTCCGTCAAGGACTGGGAAGACAACCCACCAGTCAACAAAGCGTGGCGAGGGGCTGCCCTTCTCCACTTGGACCCGGGTGCAAACGGCTCGGGTGCCAGCACTGCGGAAGTCCCCACACTTCCCCCAGGCAAAAGGGGGGAGCATCGCCCTCTCCAGGAAGGAAAATGCCAACGGGGAGGAGGCTGTGCCAGGGAATTTCCGCCTTCCTTTAGGCCTGGATTCTGCCTGCTATAAAAGGGTTGGCCAACTTGGGGCTCTCCAGGTTTTCGGCCCGAGAACTCCCATCATCCCTGGGCAGCATGGCTAGTGGGGAGAGAGGGAGGGAGCTGAAAGCTTAATGACTAGGAGGGCCACAAGAAATGGGCAGCCTCCCCCACCCCTGCACAGGTTCGAACAACACGCTTCTCATGCCCCTGACACAGGTTGTGCTGGGGACCCCCAAAAGCTATGTAGCGTGCAAGAAGCATCTCCATGGCTGCCATTTTCGGGGACCCCAAAACCTTCGATTGTGAAGGAGCTTGCCCACGGGCCCTTTCCTTGCCACCTGCATCCTTTTATAAAACGTCGCTTGCTGAGAGGTGTCCTTCAAACGCAAAAAAAGCATTGAGTGACTCAGTGGCAAGGGAGGGGCACGTTTCACATGCTCAGAGGAGCATTCTTCAACGCCATGCCCTCCAGATGAGCTGGACCACGCCACCCATAATCCCCTAGCCAGCTATGCAGGCCAAGGCAAAATGCCAAGTGTAGTTCCATGCAGCAGGGAGACACCTGGCTGGGGAACGCTGCTTCGGGGTACTTTCGTATCACTGCTCATATTTTGTGGGCTGAGTCCCAGCCCTCCGAAGGCTTCGCCCCGTCTCATTTCAAACCCCGCCTGACAGCTGGGAGTTCAGACTTGCTTTGCTGGCAACCACCTGGCAAGCGGTGGATGCAAAGGGCCCTGGAACGGCCTGCTGTCTCCCCGGCGGGCCGGAGTGCAGGAGAACCTACCATACTTTTGAGAGCTTCTGGTTTCAGCGAGGGCAGCTGAAGCTCCAGTGGAACCAGACTCTGAAAGCGCTCCAGAAACTCGTTGAAAAGGGCCAGAGGCTCGTCAACCAGCAAGACGGAAAAGCGATCTGGCCAAAAGGCAGGAGAAACAGGCCTGAGGACAGGTGGGCAGGAGGCACTGGCCGTCATCCAGGCGTCCTCCAATAGCCCTGGTCTGCGACTCCCATCGTTCCCAGCCAACACAGCCACGTACAGACAAGTCCAGGGAACGCACGGGCGGCTGTGTCCACCTCCCAAAAGCATCTCCTCCCCACAGAGGGAACGCCGTCTTTTCTGGCACCCGTTTCCTCCGGGCATGGACTTTCTGCTTCTCACAGCCAGCCCTGCCCCTTCCGAGCAGAGGGTGCCGTTACCTACCTGGGCACGGACTGTCTGGCCAGAAGCAGAACTTCTCATGAGCGGCCGACAAAGCTTTCCTCAGCTCCAAGCACCTCTCCTTGTCTGGAAGGCAAACGCATATCCTTGAACCCTGGGAGCTCCCGAAATCAGGGAATCACTCCAAGCAAGTCTGAAAAGGCTTCCAAGCAGCTAAGCGGCCAGAATCCGTACAGTGAGCGAGTATACTTCCTACACACCTTTGGACAGAGAGCTATCCTCCAGCCCCCAGCCAGCCGTGCTTGATGGGGCCAGGCTAGGAGTGGCAGGACTCTTTTCTGTCTAAACCTACATGGAATTGCACCCAGAAGTGTGTGCAGCTAAAATCACGACACCCTCTGCCCCCATGGAGGAACAGAGCGCACCTCCTTCGCACAGGTTGTGCCAAACGAGACGAGCAGCTTGATTTGCAAGGAACACTGAAGCCCAAATCCTGGACAAGCAGGAACCAAGCGCAACGCCCCGCCTCACTCGCTCCTCCGCCACCCCAGCTGCTGCTTTTATTTCGCATTCCTTGCACGCACACACGTCCACCTTCTCCAGCATGAGGGCTGGACACGTGCGCTCGCTCTCGCTCTGGTTAATGCACGCTGCGCTTCTCTGGAAGTCCCGCTCGCTGCCTCCAGGCCACGCTGGGGAAGGACAAACACAAGACAGCGAGCCGGGCGCAGCCCTTACACTTGCGGAAGTCAAAGGCCAGCTGCAGGCTGGCGCAGAGATAGGCCTGGCAGCTGGCGCACTTCAGCATGTCACACTCGATGTTGCTCCAGCCGTACTTGGCGCAGATCAGGGGCGACAGCTCGTGGGGCTTGCCGGCCCATTTGAGGGAGTGCCAGAGTTAAGGGCGGAACGCTCGTCAGGGTCTGCAGACCGGGCTCCGTCGCCCGCGTTGTGCCCAGGCGTCTTCTCGTCAAGCATGGGAAGCGGGCTCATTCTGCAAGGGGGAAGAGCCTTCGGGGACCCCGGGGCCACACCCACTTCCCTCCCCCCAGTCCCCGACGGCCAGTTGTGGGGTAGATTCTGGCTTCTGCACGGCCTTTTCCCCACTCGGAAAGGTCAAGATGCCTCTCCTGAGGCCCAGTGAGTGATGGCAGGAACTCTGAATGAAAGCATGGTGGTATTTGGAGCCACACTCGCCCCCCTTTGCCTTCGTCCCCTCCTCCTTTTGCCACCAACTCTGCTCACCCCTGGAACACAGCCTCGGAAAGCCTCTCTGAACGGCATTTGGCAAGAGGATCTGCACCTCTGTTATACTGGCTCAGACCACTGGGCTACCTAGCTCAGTGCTGCTTATACTGAATGGCAGCCATGCCTCTCCGGGCCGTCGGGCAGAATTTTTTCCAGCCTGACCTGCAGACGCAGCTGGGTGTGGAACTGGGGGCCTTCTGCAGGCAAGGCAAATGCTGTGCTGCCGAGCCACGCCTGCTCCCCACACGTGGGGCTTCACCCGGCTGCCCCTGCTGGTTGCAGGCATGCCCAAGCCCTGCCTGGCCAGGGACCTCCACGAAGCCTCTCCGTGGATCAGCTCCTGCTCCAGCTGCAACTTTAATGGCCAGGAGTGGCCTCCTTTCAGAGATCGCCCCCAGCACCGGTTCCGTCTGCCAAGCCATCTCTGAGCTGAAGATTTCTGGGCAAGCAGCTGCTCAGCCAGCCAGCCAGCCAGCAGAACATCCCAATCTTGGCATGAAACTCATCCATCGGCTACCCCTCAAAACCCCCAACATGACAATTCCTATTGGTTGACACCGCTCCTTCACCCCACCCATCCCCATCTGCTCTGCTCAGGACCAGGCCAGAAAAGGATATGGTAAATGTTTCCACTCGGCTGAAATAGGCTTCTTTGCTGGTGGCTTCGAAAGGCAGCTCGTCAACCAGGGGAGACCCATTTGCCACGTCACTTAAGGCAGAGGAATCCTTTCTGAAAGTCAGGTGAGAGGGCATGATATAGTGACCTGCTGTGGACGGTGACGATGAGTTCTGATTTCCCTCGTTCCTCCCCATCCCAATTTCTCCAGACCTGCAACAATTCAAAACCCACAATCTCCACCCACAAACCCAGTGCTTTAACTCTGACCGTGACAAGCAGTGGAAAAAACATGTCGAGTTCATTCCGTACGCAGAGCTGCTGTGAAATATGCCTTTAAAAATTACCCACACCAGCGTCTAAATATTTGCGTGCCATGTAGCATGTATGATGCCAGCTCCGCAAAACAAATGTGAACTTTAAACCACGCATGCTTCTTATTCGTTAAGCACTATTTTTGGGATCAGTATCTTGAGGCAGTTCCTTATTAGTCAGGGTCCACCCAACAGGTGCGTGGCTGCTTTGGAAACGTAAAACAGAGGAGAGCATCATAGAGTTGGGAGGAATGCTAGAGGTCATGTAGTCCAAAGCAGGCGATGCTATGCAGGGTGCAGCCTCAACATCTCGTTCAGCCTCTGCTTAAATACCTCCAGAAGCCGCCATTTCCATTTCCGCTCACTGTTCGAATGTCGACCGGAAAGCCGCCTCTCCCTAACCGCTACTTGTTCGTTCTTGTCCTACCCTCCTGAACAATGGAGAACTCTGCTCCATCTCCTGCACAGCAGCCTTCCAGAAGGTTGAAGGTCGCTCTCTTTTCCAGGCAGAACATTTCCAGTTCCTGGTACAGAACATTACCTACTGTTTTTAAAAGAACTGGCTTCCCAGACCCTCTACCATCCTGGTAGCCCATTCCTCGGTGCGTTCCAGTCTGCCCATGTCCAAGGTGCTCAGAACTGGCTACGGTACTCAAAATGCTGCCCAAATCATGTGGAACAGCGTGGACCTACCTTCTGTGATCTGGACATTCTGCCTCTGTTGATGCAGCTCAGGATTGCTTAGCTTTCTTGGCTGCTACATGACACATTTGGCTAACAGGCAGCTTATGATCCCCTAAAGCATAATCCTACGTAAAGACAGAAAAAAGGCCTACAATTCCCAGCACTCCCTAGCCAGGGCCTCTTTTTGTACAAACATGCATAGGATTCTGCTTTAAGATACTCATATCCTTTTCATTTGCACTGCTGCCAAGTCAGGTCTCCTGCCATCCTGCACTTGTGCCTGCCTTTCTTTCTTTCTTTCTTTCTTTCTTTCTTTCTTTCTTTCTTTCTTTCTTTCTTGTGGGGGAGGGGGTAGCTTCATGCACTTATCCCTGTTGAATCTTATTTTGTCAGATTTGGCTGAATGTTCTCACCTACCTAGATCCTTTCCAATCTTGATTTTGTGTTCTTTGCTACTGGCTGTCCTTCGTAGCTTCATGTCATCTTCAAATTTGATAAGCAACCACTGTCTATCCTCATCAAAGCTGAACTGCACAAAGCACTGGACAGAGCTCTATCCAAGAGGGTGCTAACCCTTTCACTATTGTTGCTCAACCAGTTGTGGATCCATCTGAGTGCTGTAGCTTCTAGCCCACTGTTCACCATCTTGTTAACAAGGATATCATGGTAAGCCTGTTTTCCAGAAGCTCTCAGTGATTACAGAAAGGAGGTCTAAAATATTGTTCATGAGTCCCTGGGTATATAATTCATCTGGCCCTGGAGATATGAATTTTGGGCTGCAAATTCTCCCATTTTCATTTGTTCTACTTCTCCCAGGCTAGGCGCAAATCCCCTTGTGGGAAGACTGAGACAAAACAGAAGTTAGGTAGTTCCATTGTGGATGCCTGTCACCATCACACCTTCCTCATCACCTTGCCAGAAAGGTTGGATGCTGGAAACAGAATGATGTACAAGCCAATCCTTTGAGAAGAGTTGTTCTGGGCTGCCATTGCATTTGAGTGAGAGTCAAGGTGAAACGCCTTAGACAAAGTCGGACCCTTGGTCCATCCTGGTATTGTCAATACTGATTGGCAGCGACTCTCCAAGGCTCATGTGGGGATTGAGCCCGCTTCTCCCATATTACAGCCTTCAAAGGCTGTTGGCTCTGATTCTGAATCAAAAAAATAGGCAAGGATGGAATTAGCAACTGAAATGCCAAGGCCACTGGACTCAGAAATCAGACAGTCAGATGCTGAGAACCAGCCAGTTTCTGGTGGGGTGGTGGAACAAACTGAGATTGTGGTGGCATATTTAACACCATCAATCCAATTGTAGGTTGTCAGTCTAAGAAAGTTAACTCACCAAAGAACATGAGATTTTCCTGACAATTGGCCTGGCAGAAGCATGACCCACATTTTAGGGGCAACCAACACTTTTTTGTTTGGGAAGGGGGGAAGCTTTCCAGTTTGGAATCAACTTCGTGCCAAGATGGCCGGCATGCCATGTCCTCAGTTACTGACTTCTGCAATGGTGCTCTTTTGCATCATATTGAGAGACTAGCTGGCCAACCCTAACATAATAAAGACTTTAATCAGGAAGCCTTTTGTCTTCATCTGCCTGAAAGGAAGGGGAATACACCAAGTTTCAGGCAGGATTCTTTCCTAGACCCACCTGGGGAAACCAAGCATTGGCCCAGGGACCTTCCGTGGTTCAAGCATGCCCTCAACCGATGAGCTTTCCCAGCTGGACATCCAGCTCCTCTTTTCCTTCGACAAGCGTCTATTTTCCCGCAGAGCACCAAGAAGGTCGCTGAGAAGAGGGTGTCCCTCCGCAGAGCACAAGGCAAGAGAGCCGGGGGCTCCCCTGCTCCGGCGTTGCTTTGGCCCGGAGCGCCGCACCGAGCCCAGGCCGGTCCCGCCCGCCCGCCTGCCCGGCCCCTGCCGGCTCGGCCGTTCCACGGGCACGGGATACTTCGGGTCCGAGGTGCCCCGGCTGCCCTCGCGGATCCCCAGCTTCCACCCCCAGCTGGGCCCGAGCTCCCCGTGCCCGCCCTGCCAGGCCGGGGGGCGCCTCAGGGAATCCCGCCGCCCGCCCAGAACGGGCGACCGAGGCCGTGCGCACGCAGAGGCGGCGGGCGGGATCCCGGGCGCCGCGGCTCGGCCCCCCGCCCTTCCGCTCACCCTTCCGGGCCGCCCTCCTCCGGGGCGATCCCGCCATCGATCAGCTCGCGGACCTTCTGCGGGGTGATGGCCGCGGGCTTGGCTTTGCCCGCCGAGGCGCCGTCCTCGCTCTCCGCGCCGGGAGCGGCGGCCGCGGGGCTGGGCGCCGCCATCTTGGTCCCTCCCTCTGACCCTTCCCCCGGCACGCGCCGCCCGCGGAGGGAGGGCGAATCGTTCCGGGCCGCGTCGCGCCAGCGCCAGCGCCGGGGCCTCTCGGGGGCACGGCGGGGGCGAGCGGGCCAGCAGCGCCCCTGTGCGCAGACTAGCCCGGGCTGAGTTCGGCAACGGAAGGAGCCGGGCTGGGTTCCTAAAGCACCCCGGCAGAGCCCAACCGCCGGACTCCCATGCTGCTTACTCGGAAGGGAGCCCGATGCCGTTGGACCGAAACCTGCCCGTGCTCCCCCGCACATCGCTCCCGCGGCTCTGCAGAGGATCCTCCCCCGAGTGACCGTGCAGGCAGAATCGCAGTCCTCGGCCAGCTGGAGCTGGGCTGAGGGCGGGCGGAGGATGGCTGGCCCTGCGTGGGTGAGGCCGGCTCCTTTAGACATGCAGCGAAGTGGAAGAGCAGGGAGGAGGAGAGCTGCATCTGTTGGATTCTGGCTGCCCAACAGCAGTGCGGTGACCTGCCGAAAAGCATGGCCATCGCTGCAGAGCTCTTGCCGCCTGGGGAAATCCAAGCGCACTAAGAGGTCAGGGATAAGGTCAGATCCGGGCCATTCCGGTCTAGGGCGCACCGCTTGCCAGTTCAGTCGTATCTACGGAATGCCGGGACTTTTTTCTACCCAAGCGTGCAGAGTCCTGCGTTCTAACGAACTTGGGTCAGAGGTCTAGGAAAAGCCATCGGTGCCCCAGATGCTTTGGGCTGCAGCTCTCAGCGTTCCTGCCCTTTAGCCAGGATGGCTGGGGATGATGGAGCTGGTAGCCTAAAAGAGCTGAAGGGCACCACTAAGTTGGGACAGAGAGTGGTGCATGGCAATAAGAAAAACAACAGTAGCCTGGCCCAGGGAAAGGACGCCTTCCTCTAACAGCAGCGCAGAAGCCCTTTATCTGACCCGGCCTCTCGGGGACTCCTGGGAATTGTAGTTTTGCCGGCAGACGCGCGGATTGTCGATGCTTTCCCACCCATCCACAGAACTACCCTTCCCGTGGGCCCCCGCGAGGCGGGGAAGCGACCGGCCACGCTCAGCGCGGGGTTTCTAGCCTCGATTGCTCCTGCCTTTCCCCCTCCGCGGAAGGAGCGCCGCCGCGGGCGCGGAGAGGCGGCCGGCGGTCGACTGCTCGGCACTGCCGCGGCGCCTCTGCGGCGACGCCCCTCGCCCCGCACCCCAAGAAGCGCGCCCGCGACTGGCTGGCGCGCTTCCAGGCCCCCGCTGATTGGCTGCGCCCCGGGTGCCCGCGCCGGCCCCGCTTGCGCTCGGCGGAGGCGGCTCGGCTGGGCTGGACGCGCCGGCGCGGCTCGCAGGCGAAGCGGCGCGGCGCGGCGCGGGCGGAGGCGG